CGGCGGCGGCTTGACGCGACGACCGACTGGCTCAGACGACCCGACTCCGACTCGACGGCGCGCCTGCCCGCGCAAGCTGCTAAACACTTAGAACACGCACGTGCCCTTTCTTCAACGCATGCCTGAACAGGTCCGCGGTGCCTTCGCCAACATACCCATTGGCAGCACCCGCTTTGGCGAAGACATCGGCCCGAACATTCCCCAAGACATGAACGAACGGTGGCCTGCAGGATGGAGTGGCCAAAACACCATCAGACAACTCTCCATGGGCGGGGCGCCAGTGCACCACGGGCGGGGGCCCGCCACGCTTCCGGACGACCGCGCGAATGTCTCCAGACGGCAGCGCGCTGAGCCCCGGGACCCGCGCAACGAGCTCCACTCCTCCGATCCATTCGCTGGGCCAAGCAAACCAATGACAACAACCTGCACAGACGGCATCTTTTCCAGCGCGCGAAACACTCCGACCCTCTCGGCTTCGCCGACCGTCTAACTGCGGCCCGCCAGGCGCCCGTAGCAAGCGCGTGGCGGGACTCCTGCATCCGAGAGATGGGCGCGCGCCGAACCGCGAGCCCGGATATCAAGCTGGCTACCCCAGCGCCATGAGGAGGGGGATGAATAGGAGGACGGAGAGAAGGATGCAGGGGAGTAGGGGGAGAAGGAGGAGGAGGAGGAGGAGGAGGAATTACAGGAATTACAGCCTTCGCGTAGCGAAATTCACCGAACACGACGCACATGAGCAGGGGGCGCTCGAGGGCGCGGCCACATCGTTCACGCATGGTAGAGAGCGGCCGGGCGCGATGATAGCCCCACAAAACTCCTCCGAGCGGACAGACAAGTGTGCAGTTGTATGGATACTAAGCTGGAGTGAAAGGGAGCTAGCTCCATGAAGCACTAGCGCACAGCGATCACGCACAACCCGACAGCAAAGCGGGTCGCCCACTCCACAGACAGCCTCGCCCCATAACGACGGCAAAGAGCTGAGCGTTGACCCTGGAGCAACGCAGGGCCGCAGGCGAGTCACTCCGCACGGCTCGCTCAGATCACGACACTCACCCCTGGTGCCGACCCAAGCCTCCGCCTGCCTCTGCAGGTCGGGGCCCTGGAGCTCCCTCGGCCGCACAGGCGGGCCACCTGCCGCCAGACTCAGCGGAGCCCAGAACCACCCCCGCAGGTCCCCTTGCCCAAAGGGGGGCCAGGTGGCACGCACCCATGCGCCCCCCCCCGACCACTCCGCGGTGCGAGGCGACCCGAGTGCTGAGACTGACCCTGGGCGGACAGGACCCGAGGCGTTTAGCGAACAGCACCCAGCATCCCCCGCCAGTGGGTAGTTTGTCGCGGCAGGCGAGGCCGCGCCCTGAGGGCCACGCTCCCCCCCCTGGCCCGAGCGGCCAAGCAGGGCGGCCCGACGCCCCGGGGCCCGGCCCCGCCCGCCGCGGCGCCCCGAAGGACGACCGAGCGGGTTTTACTTACGGGGGCGGGGGGGGGGGGGTTGTTTTCATCGAGCACTCCTTGCAGCCACGTGCGACGGCGGAAATGCCACCAATAACTGCGATGACAACCTATCGTTGTCATCGTTGTCTCCTGCTTCGGCCTCTGGAGCTCGTCGAGGGGATCGTCGTTAAGTTCCAGCGCCTCGGCATCCGTGACCTTCGCAGAGCGGGGCCAGATTTGCAGGAGTAGTGCCATCTATGAATTCAGACAACTTGGGGTAGATTACCAGGGCCTGGCCAATCAGCCGGATGTTCTGCCTTCGAAGGCACCAAATCGCAGCCGTCGGCCAATGGTGGGTTTCCTAACCCGCACTGGCAACGCGAAGCTCAGGCGAGCGTCGCTCTCGCCCACGGCAGGGCGGGGTCGAGCGGGGCCATCCGCGGCGAACTCAAGGGCCCAGGGCTCTGAGCGTGTCCATATCCCAATAGAACCCATCAGGTCGGGGGAACTCGTCGCTGGAAGCTTGCGCGTGACTGCCGCCCCAAGGGCCCCGCAGACTCCCATGGGCTTCTCGGCGCCCTTCACCCTCTGGTGCAAAGTTCCAATCGCCCAATCAGCGCCCCTCTAACGGGGGCTCCACTAACGGGCACTTTGACCAGTGACCCCGCGAACCCACCCCCCCCCGACGCGGGCAACGCTGCAACGCCACAAACAGGCCCTAACAACATGGCAACTTGCGGCAATGTCCCAAAGTGCCCGTTAGCGAGTGCCCGTCGCGGCGCCGCCGATCCCGGATCGCGCCGAAGTTCCTGGCAGACACGTGGACTTCGCGCGCGCGCGCGCCAAAACTCCCGGACGCGCCAGGCGCGCGCGCGCGCGTCCACCACATTTAGCCAGCCATGCTAGCCAGACATCTCGGTTTAGAGAACGCGGCCTCCGTCAAGTGACCGAAGATCTCCCTGAGAAAAATGACTTGCTAACTTGTTGCTCGCGGCGGCGATCTCGCCGCAGGGCGCCGGCGCTATCGGGGGGGGGGGGGGGGGCAGAGTTGCCATAGGAGCGGGTGGTG